TGGGACCTCTGGAAGGGGGCGGGGCTTCACGTTCACGCTGCAGGCAGTTTCATAGAATGTCTTTCTAGAAGTAACTGGTCTCTTCGCAATGTATCCTTAGATCGGAGGGATCAAAGGTGACCCTGTGACGTTCGGGGAGGCTCTCTGGGAACCCAGCCTGATCTTCGCTTTTGCCCACTTCGATGGGATCCTGGGCCTCGGTTTCCCTTCTCTGGCGGTGGGAGGAGTTCGGCCCCCACTGGATACGCTGTTGGAGCAGGGGCTTCTGGAGAAGCCAGTCTTTTCTTTTTACCTCAACAGGTATTGCGCGGGTTGGGGTATCTCCATATCTATGGGTCCTAGCCCCCAAAACATCACCTTCAAAGAAGTCTGTTATTCAGTACAGGAAGTCCTATGTCCTGACAGGAAGACAGTCTCCCCCACCCCCAGCTTTCAGGAAAGCACTTACCCAACATAGAAAGCTGAGAAGTCACACATCTTATGTGACAAGATGTACCAAAGACACTCACCACTGGTTCATAATGCCTGAGGTTTCCCAATCAAACAGGAAATTCCATGCCTAGGCCAACTCCACTTGAAGAGCTCTTAGGTCACCCTAAAGAGAGCTCACATTGCAGTGGAAAATGCAACAGGAGGTAGGATGACCCTTTACCCACTCTTAAGAACTGCAGCCTTATGCTCAGAAATCCCCCTCACAGCCAGGCATGACGGAAAATGCCCGTTATCGCAGCACACAGGAGGCAGAAGCAGGAGGATCAGGAGTTTAAGATCATCCTCCATTACATAGTGAGTTTGAAGCCTGACAGGGCTACAGGAAACTCTGTCTCAAACAATCAAACATGGGGTTAGAGAGATGGCTCAGCAGTTGAGAGCACTAGCTGCTCTTGCAGAGTTTGGTTCTCAGCCCCCATATGTCGGCTAACAATCACCTATAGCTCTAGTTCCAGGGGATCCAACGCCTTCTTCTGGCCCCAATAAGCCCCAATTTGTACATAAAATACAAATACAAATCTTTGAACAAACAAACAAAAAAGACCCACTCATCACCCAGGAAGCCTCTGGCCTCCCTCCCAGTGACCATAACACATAGTCAGAAAATACGGTGCCCACAGTCACCCAAACACCCAACCCACTCAGATGTCCTTCCTTCTTCCTAGTTGACCTCCCATGCCTTCCCCAACCCTTCTTCCTGTCACTTCTGGCCAACTGATTATGCCTAAGGATTGTGTATTTATTTCTCTTGTAGTACTAGGGAGGGAATCCAGAGGCCCTACACTGAGCCACACCCCAGTCCCTCACTGAGGTATGCTAGGCAAGGGCTCTACCACTGTGCCACACCCTGCACACTCTTTGTACCTTTTATTTTGATACAGGCTCTAAGTTGCCCAGTTGACCTTATACTTGTCATCCTCCTGCTTCAACCTCTGGAGTAGCTGGGATCACAGGCCTGTGCCCCCAAGGCCAGGCTGGTGTTCCTTCACTCTTGCCTTCCAGTCTCAACATCCAGGACCTGCCCACATCCCTCTACCCCATCCGTGGTCCCCTCTGGGTTGGCAGGTGAAAGAAAGGTCGGCCTCATACAACACTCTGCCTCTGCAGGGTTTCTGAGGGTTCTGATGGAGGAGAGCTGGTCCTGGGGGGCTCAGACCCGGCTCACTATATCCCTCCCCTCACCTTTGTGCCAATCACCGTCCCTGCCTACTGGCAGGTCCACATGGACAGGTAAGGAGCCTGGTTTCATGAGGCTGGAGTCGGGGGTCTGGACTCCTAGGACCCTGCCTCTGATGACCTTGTTCCCCCTTACAGTGTGAAGGTTGGCACGGGGCTGTATCTCTGTGCCCACGGCTGCAGTGCTATCCTGGACACAGGCACATCCCTCATCACAGGACCCAGTGAGGAGATCCGGGCCCTGAATATGGCTATTGGGGGATTTCCCTTCTTAGCTGGGCAGGTGAGACACATTCTAGGTGTGGGGTGGGCTGTGGAGGCTGATGGAGCTGGATGGTAGACTTTGGGTGGGATGCTGAGGTCTGAGGGAAGGAAGCAGGTAATTAGGAGGTATCCAAACTGAGAGTTTGAGTGACACGGTAGCCAGTGGGAGTAAGCAAGTGCATCCTAGGTGTGTTTTGAGTGACTGGTGGTGGGTGGGGCATGGGGGAGTATCAATTCCTGAAAGCCTTTTCACTCAAGGCCCAGAATACCTGATTGCTCAATATAAGCTTTACACTAGAGCCCTAGAGAGCTAGAAGAGACACTTGAACAGGGCCAGAATCTCTTACCTTCATCATTCATCTTTTCCTTAGTATCTCATTCAGTGCTCAAAGATCCCAGAACTTCCCCCAGTCTCCCTCAGCCTCGGAGGAGTCTGGTTTAACCTCACAGGCCAGGACTACATCATCAAGGTAAGCAGCTGTCATAATGACATCAAAGTAACAGATGTGGTAGTTTGTTAGGGTGGAGCTGGGACTCTGAGTCCGCCAGGAAACCAGGCTAGCCTCCAATTCACAGTGATCCTCGTGCCTCTGCCTCTGGAGGGTGAGATTAAAGGCCTGGGCCACAGTGCGTGGCTTCAACTTTGCCTTCTTTTCCTTCCTTTCCTTCTTTTAAAATTACCTTCATTTGGGCCGAAGAGATGGCTCAGCAGTTAAGACCACTGGCTGCTCTTGCAGAGGACCTGGGTTCAATTCCCAGCACCCACACTCTAGTTCCAGGGGAATCCAACACCCTCTTCTGACCTCCGAAGGCATTGCATGACAAGGGTGCAGTTACATACATGCAGGCAAAACACTTATACACATAAAATAAAAAATATATAGAGAGAATTACGTTTTATTTTGTGTGCATGTGCATGTGTGTTCAGGAGCTACAGAGTGTGTGTAGGGTCAGAGGACAACTTGCAGGAATTGGTTTGCTCCTACCATGTGGGACCAGGGGATCTAACTCAGGTCATCAGGTTTGGCGGCAAATGCCTTAATTAGCCGAGCCATCCTGTTGGTTGCCTTTCTTTTTTTGAGACAGAGTTTTGCTATGTAGCCCAGGCTGGCCTTGAACTCTCCATCCTCTTGCTTCAACCTCCCCAGGGCTGGGCTCACAGGCCTGCTCCAGCATGTCAACACTCTTTGGCTTCACTTGTGTGCAAAGGGCAAGGCGAAGGGAACAGTCAAGGCCGGAATCCGTGACACCAATGACCCAGTGTTGTCGCCCTGCAGATTCTTCACAGTGACTTCGGCCTCTGCTTGTCCGGCTTCCAGGCCTTGGACATCCCCAAACCAGCTGGACCCCTCTGGATCCTCGGTGACGTCTTCTTGGGGTCCTACGTGGCCGTCTTCGACCGCGGGGATAAGAAGAGTGGACCCCGCGTGGGCCTAGCTAAGGCTCGGTCAAGAGTAGCTGGTCGCGGAGGGGGCGAGGCCGCGCAGGCGCAGTTCTCCAGCGGACGCCCTGGTTAGGGTGCCCGCGCACGGGATGGCCACGGAGATCTGGCTTTCCAGTAAAGAAAAAAATAAAAATAAAAAAAAAATATCCAGGCCCGGCGTGGTGGCGCACGCCTTTAATCCCAGCACTCGGGAGGCAGAGGCAGGCGGATCTCTGTGAGTTCAAGGCCAGCCTGGTCTACATAGTGAGTTCCAGGACAGCTTGGGGCTACAGGGAGACCCTGTCTCAAAAAGACAAAAAAATCCAGTTTCCATTGAATGAACCCACCTGGGTCACTTTGTCACTTTCAGGAAGAGAAAATGAATGTTCTGGCCTCTGGAGTTAAGAGAAGGAAGGGAAGAGAAACAACCTATTTAAGCAGGGTGCATGGCAGGGAGTAGGGCGGGAACTACAATTCCCATGAAGCTCTTGGCCTCCACAGCCTGTATCAAAGGCCTGTGTACCGCGGAGCATCACGGATGTTGTAGTTCATTTCTTGTTCGCGGTTCATCTCAGCGGCGGGGGTGGCCACAGCCACAAGCGTTGAGAGGCGGCGACAGGTCGCGATGACAGCGACAGGTGGCTTTGGGGGTGAAATCAGTAAAGGGTTCCCCATCCATGTTTTAAGGAAAGGGGGTCACCAATTCTGAGCTCTACACTTCTCCCTGGGGATTCCGGGACCCCTGGGTCGGCCATGAAGGCGGAGCTTGAAGCCCCCGGGCTGGGGCGGGGGGAGCAGGGGCTGCCCCTTCTCCCGTGGTGATGTCACAACTCCCCTCCGTGGCCTCTAGCTGCCCAGAGCTGCTGGGGCTGGGTCACCCCTCCCCCATCGCCAGGTTTCCCCGCCCCCTCCATCCCCTCTGCGTCTTGACCTGGGGTGAGTACGTGGGAGGGGGCGGAGGCTCCAGATCTTGGGGGCGGAAGACAGCTTAAAGCCCTTAGAGCAAAAGGATTCCCCACTGGAATCTGAGCTTGGAGGAGGGTACAAAGTGCTGGGGGGGGAGGTTTCTTAAGCAGTGTCTCCACATTCTCCGTTTTATTGAGACTATTGGATTTGGCACCGAAGGGATGGGATGGGGATTCGGAGCAGAAAACATCCTAGAAGCACAGGAAGGGCAGACTGGTACCCAGTGGCAGGGTATGGGGGAGGGGACAGTGGGGGGGGAGCGAGGGGGGTAATAGTGGTAAGGAAAGGACTTAAGAGGGCGGACATCCTCCTGGTGTCCCCTCGCTCAGCCTGGACTCTGGTCTCTGAGCATAGCTGTCCAGGAAGCCGAGCCCCAACCAGTCTCTAATCGAGTAGCGATTTCCGGCCGACACGCCCCCCACCCCACCCCCCGCCATGTCCTGGTGAGGTCTTGGGAGTGACGACACCCAAATTTCCCAGGGCTCTGGGGAGTCTTGTTCTTCCTGAGACGCCTTGCCTGCCCTCTCTCCCCACCTCCCTAGTCTCGGTTTCCTTCCCCCAGCCTCCTCCTCACCACACCTTCTGACTTCTGCAAAAATCTCTGATTTATTTGGTAACTGGATCCCGTGCCCTGCTGTCAAAAGCTGGAAGTCAGGGTGGAGGTGGGGTGTGACCGTGGATGGTGACTTAGGCCCTTACCCCAGTTCCTACCCTGGCCCCTGCTCCAGCCTGCAACCCGACCCCAACTGGCCTGGGAACCCCTTCCCCAAAGCTTTACAGCAAGAGGTACTACTTCTCCCTGAGACATGCCAGAATTCGGGGTTCGGAGGGGTAGGAAACGCCTCTGTCTTTTCTCTGCCTGATGGGTCCATCAGAGGCTTGAGAGCTTCAGAGGATGGGGGACCCTAAGTTTCCCTCCTCTGACTGCAGGACAGGCCCCAATTCTCCAACTGCAGTGATGCAGATGGGGTTAGACTGAGTGTTGGAGAAAGAGAGAGAGAGAGAGAGAGAGAGAGAGAGAGAGAGAGAGAACAGAGGACAGAGACAAAAAGAGAGGGGGAGCAGAGGCCCAGACACAAGAGTTACAGAGACCTGGGGGGGGGGTCAGAGACCTAGAGAGGGGGAGAGACAGAGACATAGAGAGAATATGCCGGGCGTGATGGCGCACACCTTTAATCCCAGCACTTGGGAGGCAGAGGCAGGCGGATCTTTGTGAGTTCGAGGCCAGCCTGGTCTACATAGTGAGTTCCAGGACAGCTGGGGCTATAGGGAGACCCTGTCTCAAAAAGAAAGAGAGAGAGAGAGAGAGAAGAGAGAGAATACACAGAGGACAGAGACAGAGACCTAGAGGGGGGAGTCAGAGACCTAGAACGAAAGGGACAGAGACCCAGAGAGAGGAACAGAGAGAGAGACTTAAGACGGACAGAGACGAAGACCCAGAGAGAGACAGAGACCCAGAGACAGAGGGGGACAGAGGAGAGAGAGAAGCAGAAACCCAGAGGAGGGGGGCAGAGACAGAAAGACAGAGAGAGACAGACGGAGACGGAGAACGAGAGAAAGACAGACTTAGAAAAGAGGGACCAGACACCCAAAGCTGTCGGAACAGAGGGGGCGAATCTCAGAAACACCATGGAAAAGGCGCACAACAGGTACAGAAGCGGGGTCAGGGTGGGGTGGGGATACGAACCCGCTTGGCTACCGCAGCGGGAGGCGGCGGGCCAGCACCGCCGCAGCCCCTGACCCGCCCTCTTCGCTCCCGCAGGCGCCGCCTCCCACCGCAGCCCCCGCCGCAGCTGCTGCACCTGCGCACTGCCGCCCCGAGCCCAGGAGCGCGCGGGGGGGGGGGAGGGCGGGACTTTGCCGATTGGAGGTGGTTCGCTTCGCTGTGGCGCCGCCCCCCCCCACAACCCCGTCCCCTTCCCCCTGACCTTGCCCATCACTGCGGGGTGGGGGCGAGGGGCTCTGGTTCTCCCTGCCAGTCCTGCACCCTGTCCTCACTGCACTTACCCATCTCTGGGCCCTCCAGTCCGCACAGTGTAGTGTCTGCCCCCCCCCTGCTTTCCTACAGCTGTTGGACGCTCTTCCCCGCCCCCTAAGTCCTAGTAGACCATTCCCCTCCTCTCCCCTCACCCCGCCTCTCCATTCCTCGTCCTTCCCCTCTGCTCAGCGTAGTGGATTCCAAACCATTCGGGTCCGGCATCCATCCCATCAGCCTGGAGGACTCCTGAAGGCGCTGGTTGCTCTCCATCCCCTTAGCATCCCACTGCTATCCTGTATCCCTACTCCACCCCTACCCCCTCAACTGTCACTTTTCGGGTCTCACCTCCACCTTCAATTCCCCCACCCCCGAGGTAAAACCCGCCCTTTCACTGTCCCGGCCCAATCAGGAGTATTAATGTTCTCGCCCCTCCCCCCTCCCGACCCGTCCAGTCTGTCACTCAGCCCTGCCCTCTGCCTGTCCAGTCTAGGTCTGGCCTGCTGGGGCTTTAGGCCCGGTGGGTGACCTCTTTGGTTACTTTTTTTGTTCCTTTCGATTTCTCCTACTGTGGTCCCTTCCCCTTCAAAAAAATCCGATTAAGTCTCCATATATATGGAGACACCATACACACACACACACACACACACACACACACACACACACATTGAGGCAGAGTCGCTGGCAGCCCAGGCTGGCCTCCATCTCTCTACACAACAGAGGATGCCCTTGAACTCGTGACCCTCCTGCCTCTACCTCCCCAAGTGCCAGGATCGCCGAGGTGCACCGCCACACCCAGCTCTTTCCCATTTTCCCGGTGCTGCTGAGCTAGGCATTTTTAGGGTCCCCTCGACGCCCCGCCCCTCCTCTGCGGAATATCCAATCACCGAGAGCCCTGAGCAACCTCACCTTCTCCAGCTACGCTACTCGAGAGTCCGCCTAGCGTTGGCTCGCCCAGACCTATCAGTCGGCCTCCTCCCCTCGGATCCCCGCCCCGCGGCGCTCGGTCTCCTCCACCTCTCCAATCACACCTGTCCCCGCCCCCTCCAGGCCCGCCCCGGCCATGCAGCGCCTCTTCCCAGCCAATCATCGCGGCCTCTCCGTCCGGGCCCCGCCCCGGGCGGCCCCGCCCCTCCCGCCCCGCCTCCCCATCCAATGCTGAGTTCAGTGTGCGTGTTGTCCTTCCGCGGGCGCCAGGGGGCCGGCAAGCAGCATCAGCAGCCGCCGCCGGCGCCACAGCCACCAGAGTCCCCGCCGCCGTCCCCGCAGCGTGCGCAGCCCGACACCGCTGCGTCCCCGGCGGGTCCCCCGCTTCCTCGCGGGCCCGGGGGCCGTTGCGCCGAGCCATGCCCCGGGCTGCCGGCGGTGGCCATGGGGCGGCACGGCGGCGGCGGTGGCGACAGTGGTAAGATCGTGATTAACGTGGGCGGCGTGCGCCATGAGACGTACCGCTCCACGCTGCGCACACTGCCCGGGACGCGGCTGGCCGGGCTGACCGAACCCGAGGCTGCCGCGCGCTTCGACTACGACCCGGGCGCCGACGAGTTCTTCTTCGACCGCCACCCGGGCGTCTTCGCCTACGTGCTCAACTACTACCGCACCGGGAAGCTGCACTGCCCGGCGGACGTGTGCGGGCCGCTCTTCGAGGAGGAGCTGGGCTTCTGGGGCATCGACGAGACGGACGTGGAGGCCTGCTGCTGGATGACCTACCGGCAGCACCGCGACGCGGAAGAGGCGCTCGACTCCTTCGAGGCCCCGGACTCCTCGGGCTCCGCCAACGCCGCCAACGCCGGGGGCGCCCACGACGCGGGCCTGGACGACGAGGCGGGCGCGGGCGGTGGCCTGGACGGGGCGGGCGGCGAGCTCAAGCGCCTGTGTTTCCAGGACGCGGGTGGCGCCGGGGGACCCCCCGGGGGCGCGGGCGGCGCGGGCGGCACATGGTGGCGCCGCTGGCAACCCCGCGTGTGGGCGCTTTTCGAGGACCCCTACTCGTCACGGGCCGCCAGGGTGAGCGCGCTCTCTGAGCACCCCCTACCCTTTCCCCAGCCCTGTCTTCTAGGCACTCCCCGTGTCGTGCCCCCCACCCCGCCCCCAGAAGCCTTTCCTTCTCTCAGCTGGAATTTCCTGCACCTCTCCAAACACATTCCCTCCTTTCCCAGCCGCCCTGCCACCAGGTCCTCCAAAGACAGGGCCCTCTCCCACCTTTAGCGTCTCCCGGACTTTCCAAACCCCACCTGGCTGCTCCAAGCCACCCTCGATCCTTGGAAACTTACCTCTGACAACTCAGAGACCTTCCCCAAGCCCTCAGAGTGTCCTGGCCCTCCAAACCTCCCGTTACCATCCCTTGGACGCTTGGACCCTCAGAAGCCAGTCCTCAGTGCCTTAGGTCGTGGGGACACTGCCCCCCATTCTCCCCCCTCCCAGACCCCCGAAGCTGTCTATTCAGTTGGTTCTCTTTAGTGTCGTCCCCCGTCCCACTCCCCAATTCCCCCTGGGCCCAACTCTTAGATCTCTCTGCCTCCAACACTCGGTCTCCAGGTTGGTTGTGATCTTTCACTTTCAAACAAGACTCCCCACCGCGGAACCCCCTGGGCCTCCCTCCCTGAACCCCCAAACTACTGGCTTTAGTTAGGACAGTTTCCCCATACTGTGGCTACTACTCTGTCTTGGGGCATCCTCTCTTCTAGAACTCCTCTCTCTTCAGATCCTTCATCTTCTACCCCAACTGCCTGCCAAGGATTCCCCACACTGTGCTGAGAAAGGCAGTTACTTCCCGAAATCTGGTCACACTTCTTGCAGAGTCCCACACTCTCTTTACTCACCAGCACCCCCAGTATCCCTTTCCCCCCAGTTGCTCTCTTCCGACTGCACACAGCACTCTGTCTCTGGGAACCCTCCACTTCCACACCCCACCCAACTCCAGTTCCTTCTCAGTATACCAAATGACTGTTCACTGTTTCTCACCTCAAACTTTGGGACTTATTCCTCTCCCACTCCCAAGTCATCAGCCCAGAAACTTCTGAAGGTAGCTCCAATTCTTTGTCTCCTGTCTTGGGTCCACTTCCCCTGCCTAGTTCTCCTCCCCCGGCCTTCCCTGGAGTAACCCAGGACTTTCCAGTCCCTCCTCTCTCCCGGAGCCTCACCTCCCTCAAAATCCCCAGATTCCCTCCAAATTCCCTCCTGGTTAGGCTCCTAAGCCCTTGGATACCCATACCCTCCCCGAAGTTCCCCCAAGCCTATCCTAAACTTCTCCCTGTGTATAAGACTCACCCCACACGCCCCCCGCCCCGCAAGAGAGTATAGGAAAAGTTAGGAGAGTAAGTTCAGGAACGGAGGGGACACTGGCAAAAGTGGGGGAAGGAGAGGGATCCAGGAGCCCCCTTCCAGCCTCCCGAGGGGGAAGCCCAAACCCCGGAAGAGTGAGTGCGCCCCCCCCGCCCGCTGTACCGCGTCCTGGGCCGGGAAGGACGTGGAGCCGCAGTGCCGCATTCGTGCGGTGGGGGGGGGGGTGCGGGGGAGGGGGGCCGGAGAAAGTTTAGTCCCTGGGAAGCGCTGAGTTGGCGACATTTGGGGTTCAGTGGGGGGAGGGGGTAGTGCGAAGAAAAAGGGAGCGAGAGAGACGTGGCCCCGGATGCCCCTTCGGGCCTCGGCGCATCTCCTGCCCCACTCGGTGACCTGGGGCGCCCTCCCCTCCCGTGACGTGACCCTATTGAAGGGTGCTGAAGCTGAGATGGCGTCTCGGTGATGGTCACGCTAGGGTACGGAGGTCATTCTTTTATTTCTTGCACACGTTTTTTCGAGTATCCGAGGTGTGCCGAGTGCTTTCCAGCCTTCGGGCAGGGCTGCTTGGAAGTTGGGAAGACTGGCCAGCTCCCACAGGGTCCGGCCCCCCTGCAGCCCTCTCCCTCGCCTCTTTTCCTTCCCACAGAATCTCGGTACCCTCCCATTGCTTCTACTTTTGCGTCACCCCGGGGTGAAGGGTAAAACCGGCCCTGCAGCCGTGCACTGCGGCGCGGTGCCCACCTTCCCTCGAGCCCCCGGGGAGGGAAGGAGTTAAGCGAGCTCCTGGCGCTTGGGCCTCTCGCCTTGTGGCGGTTGGCACTGCGGCTGCGCAGCTGGCTTGCAACGCTTAAGCCTGGAAGGGGTTAAGGAGGCGCCTCGGTCACTGCGGCTGCGCACTGCGGCGGGGGAGCTGGCCGCGGTGCTGGCCGCCGCGCGCCCCGCTACCCGGCCCGGCCGGCCCGCCCCCACCGCGCAGCGCAGGATGCGGCACCGCAGTGGGGGCGGGGAGGTACGGGGCATGCGCTCTGCGGAGGCCTCTGGCCTTTTCCACCACTGCGGAGAAACCGAGAGGGTGCAAAAGTGGTCCATGCTGACCCCGGCCCAGACCACCCTAAGGCTAAGGGGCCCTACCTCGGCTGCCTTCTCAGGTCCATATTTAAAGTCCAGCCCCCCAGTCCATGCCTTTGCCCCACCACTTCCCATCTTACGGAGGAGCCTCCTCTTCGTTTCTACACCCCTCTTTCCCTTTCCAGTCCCCTCCCCCTTTTCCTATCTGACGAAACAGCCATCCCCATGGCCTTGATCTGTAGCCTGCTTTCTCCCAGAACTTGACTCAGCCCCTCCTCATCACCTTACCCTGTGTAGCATGACTCTGGGCCCCCTACCTTGACATGGCACAGGCTACCCACCCCCTAGTCCTTGGGCTCTGGCCCTGCCCCAAAATCTAGGCCCCTGGCCTACCTCCCTGGAACCCTCAGCCCTCCCGGGTCCTAACCCTAACCCTAACCCTCTTTACTCTTCCCTGCCTTAACTCTTCAAAGCCTTACTCTAAAGCATGACCCCCCCACCCCACATCTATTCTTTCCCCTGTGTTTCCTGGGGTCCCCATCGAAATCTCTCTTCCCTTCCCAGGGGTCTGGATATTACATTGGGGTCCTTAGATCCTGGCCATTCTCTGACCCCCTCATCCTTGCCCCCCACTAACTGATCAGCCGTACCCTAGTAACAGCTCGGATCTCACTGTGTTCTGGGCACCCTGCCAAACAGTTTTTGGAAGCAAGCCCTCTGCACTCACCTAATCTCCATAACAATCCCATGAAAAAACAAAATTGAGATCCAGAAAGCTTAATCCTTGCTTAAGTTTGACAGATTCAAGCCCAGGCTTTTGAGCTGGGCCTGGTGGCATGAAGGTCTGTCATCCCAGCTACTCAGGAGGCTCAGGCAGGAGGACTGCGAATTCAAGTCCAGCATGGACTCATTAACTAGACCCTCTCTCAAAGTAAAAGCTAGAAAGAGGGCCAGGGATGTAGCTTAGGGGTAGAGTGTTTTGCCCAGCATGCACAAGGTCCTGGGTTCTGTCCCTAGCACTGCAGAAAAAAATAAATCCTGTGTCAGCACCTGCCTCCTCCCTTCCCTTGGCTTCAGGTAGTAGTGCGTCTTAGTCTCTCCTATCCTAGAGTACTTGGACCCTTCTAGGGAACCCCAAATGGAATGTAAGGAACAAGAGGTGGGGTAGGGTGTTCTAAGGGACAGTAAGAGGTCACAGTGCTCTTCTCAGGGTCTGTGGCAGCAAGCCCCTGCCATACAGCACTGTTCCTTTCTTTCCCTGTTTATGGAGGCAGAAATTGCAGAATTTTGGGGTGGGGACACTCGGATTCTCTTCAAATTTGGGTTCTGGAGACTGGGGGAAGCCCCGGAAATGTCCTTAGATTCTGCGGACCATGACTTGTGGGTCACCTCTGCTCTCCCGTCCTCCTGCAGTATGTGGCCTTCGCCTCCCTGTTCTTCATCCTCATCTCCATCACCACCTTCTGCCTGGAGACACATGAGGGTTTCATCCACATCAGCAACAAGACAGTGACACAGGCCTCTCCGATCCCTGGGGCACCCCCAGAGAACATCACCAATGTGGAGGTGGAGACCGAGCCCTTCCTGACCTACGTGGAGGGCGTGTGTGTGGTCTGGTTCACCTTCGAGTTCCTCATGCGCATCACTTTCTGCCCGGATAAGGTGGAGTTCCTTAAGAGCAGCTTAAACATCATCGACTGTGTGGCTATCTTGCCCTTCTATCTGGAGGTAGGCCTGTCGGGGCTCAGCTCCAAGGCAGCCAAGGATGTGCTGGGTTTCCTGCGTGTCGTCCGTTTCGTCCGCATCCTGCGCATCTTCAAGTTGACCCGTCATTTCGTGGGGCTGCGAGTACTGGGCCACACGCTCCGGGCCAGCACCAACGAATTCTTGTTACTTATTATCTTCCTGGCCCTGGGGGTCCTGATCTTTGCCACCATGATTTATTACGCAGAGCGCATCGGGGCTGACCCTGATGACATCCTGGGTTCCAACCACACCTATTTCAAAAACATCCCCATCGGCTTCTGGTGGGCTGTAGTCACCATGACGACCCTGGGCTATGGAGACATGTATCCCAAGACTTGGTCTGGGATGCTGGTTGGGGCACTGTGTGCCCTGGCTGGCGTGCTGACCATTGCTATGCCCGTGCCTGTCATCGTCAACAACTTTGGCATGTACTATTCACTGGCAATGGCCAAGCAGAAGTTGCCCAAGAAGAAGAACAAACACATCCCGAGGCCCCCACAGCCTGGCTCACCCAACTACTGCAAGCCTGATCCCCCACCCCCGCCCCCACCACACCCCCACCATGGCAGTGGTGGCATCAGCCCACCACCGCCCATCACACCACCCTCTATGGGGGTGACTGTGGCTGGGGCCTACCCGCCAGGACCCCACACGCACCCCGGGCTGCTCAGGGGAGGTGCTGGGGGACTGGGCATCATGGGGTTGCCTCCTCTGCCTGCCCCAGGCGAGCCTTGCCCCCTGGCTCAGGAAGAGGTGATTGAAAACAACAGAGCAGGTGAGGCTTGAACTGGGACTGGGGGCGAAGGTGGGGAGGATTTGGGGTACATCTTTGAGGTTCAGGGTGAGTGCTATGGTAGGCAACAGAGTAGAGGTAGAGGACAAACATTTAGAAGAGGGCCTACCCACTGAAATGGGATTTCACTGGAAAAGTTTCTGAACACTGACTGGCAGCTGGGCTCCTCTGAGCTGCCACTGGGCAGAAGCAGCGTTGTGATTAAGTGTTGGGAAAGAGAGGCTCAGAAAGCCAGGTGTGGTGGGGCACAGCTGCAAGCCGAGCACTTGGGAGCTGGAGGCAGGAGGATCATGAGTTCAAGGCCAGCCTGAGCTACACGAGACTGTCTCAAACAGAAAGAGACTCAGAGAGAAGCGGCTCAGGGCAAAACACAGGGGGAGTCCTGTGCCTCCCAAGAGGGGTAGGGACAGGTCTCAGGACTGTCACAGTACGCGAGTGTCTGCAGATAGGCTCAACACCCCAGGCTGGAGAGGGCAGCAGTCTTTGTACTCAGGTGTTCCTGTCATTGAAGAGGAGAGGAAGAGAGTCTGGCGGTGGGGAAAAGGTAGCAGGAGACTGTTCGGGAACAACCAACAGGGAGACCAGAGAGGGACACCTGCAAAACTCAAAAGCCAGGGCCAAGAGGGCTCTGTGGGCAAAACAGTCAGGGTGCAGGGGCACTCTGGTCTCCAGGCCATGTGGGGTCTGCAGAGAAGGACAGTGGAGAGGCCAGGGTTCCCCAGAGCACTCCAGTGAGTCCTTGCTTAGAGAAGAGGCAACCCAGCATGACGGCGAGTTCAAAACCAGCCTGGATTGTATAGGGAGATCTTATCTCAAGAAAAAAAAATTGTAAAGGAGGAGACAGGGCCAGGTATAGTGGTGTATGGCTTTAATCCCAGCACTCAGGAGGCAGAGGCAGGCAGATCTCTTAAGACTGATGCCAGCCTAGTCTACATAGTGAGTTCCAGGCCAGCTAAGGCTCTCAGGAGAGAGAGAGAGATCTCAGGAGAGAGAGAGAGAGAGAGAGAGAGAGAGAGAGAGAGAGAGAGAGAGAGAGAGAGAGAGAGACAGGCCAGGGAAAATGGGGAGAGGAAGCCGACAGGGGCACCTGCCTGTGTGGGTGTTGTGTGTGTGTCCTGGGGGATTCTGTTTCTTGCAGGCAGTGACTTGGGTGTCCTGGAGGAAGGAGGAGACCGCCACCCCTCCAGGTCTTAAGTAGGTCAAGAAAGGGATCCAGGCCAGTCGGCCCCTCATCTTGCTCCCTCAGCCGCTGACCCAGTTTCCCATCCATTAAAAATAGCTTGAGTCAGAACCTAGGGGACCCCCCCTTCCCCTCCCTCACCTGTCACCTTCCCAGCCCTTCCCCACCCTGTCTTCCCAGCACCCAACATTTATCCCTAAGCAACCACTTCTCAACCCGTGACATCCCACTGTCCCCAGCCAGCCCTCAGCACCTTAGGCTGGCTGTGCCCAGCACCATTTGTTGTTGTTTCTGGGGGTGGGGCTCTATAAGTAGCCCAGGCTGGCCTCAGACTCAGGATCCTTCTACCTCAGCCTCCCAACCCATCCTGATGGGATGACAGATGTGCACCACCACGCTGGGCTCACAGCAACCACCTTACTTCCCCCAGATACCCCTTCCTGGTACCAAGCACCCCACTCCAGTTGCCTTCCCCACTCACAAGAGGCCTGCTGGGCACTTCCTCGTGCTCAACTGTGCCCTTCAGCCCATGACTGTCCACACCCTCAGTCTATTACAGTCATCCTTCCCAAGTTCCAGCCCCTCCCAGAGCTACTTCACCAGCACCCCCCTGTACCCCAATGCCCCTGGAGTCTCTTCCCCCCTCCATCCCCCCACCCCCACTTTTTGCTTTTCAATCTCTATGTCTCTGACCCTTACCTCGTAGCTGACCCCCGTCCCAACGGGGACCCAGCAGCAGCCGCACTAGCCCATGAGGACTGCCCGGCCATTGACCAGCCAGCTGTGTCTCCAGAGGACAAGAGCCCCATCACACCAGGAAGCCGGGGTCGTTACAGCCGGGACCGAGCCTGCTTCCTCGTCACTGACTATGCCCCTTCCCCTGATGGCTCCATCCGGAAAGGTGAGCTGCCCTCCAGGAGCTCCCAGGGATGCCCCCCTCCTGGGAACCCTTCCTCTCTCCCCTGCCCAGGAGAGGGAGGAGAGGGGATGGGGGTGGGGCACGACACCTCCCTTCTCCCCTCAGACCCCACCTTTCTCCTTTACCCTGTGCCTGTTTCCTCACCTATCTATTTCATCTCCATCTCCCTTACCTACCCCAACTCTTTGGCCTCTTCCCCTACCCCCAGCCACTGGTGCTCCCCCACTGCCCCCCCCAGACTGGCGTAAGCCAGGCCCCCCAAGCTTCTTGCCCGACCTCAACGCCAACGCAGCAGCCTGGATATCCCCCTAGTGGACGAACCCACCCACCCACACGCACCCCAACCCACACACACTACCCACCGCCCAACACACCGCACTCCACCACATCCACACACTCACCA